GTAGTAGTGGGGTGGTGGTGGGGGAAAGCTCAGCCTAGCCTGGAGGAACTAGGGGTCTGGGAGAGCAGAGGGGCCTGCTCCACACATTACCTCTCATGAACTCAGTTTAGTACTAGGGAAAGTGAGTGAAGGTAGGGGAGCTTCAAATACCTCCCGCCTCAGCCACAGCTAAACACACCATGTTTGTTACAGGTGGCAGTGAAATAGACCTTCCACTCATTCATTAACTCATTAGTTCACTAATTCATTCATCTGTACATTTATCCATTTATCTACCCTTTCTTTTATTCATTCATCAATCCACCCATTTATCCATTTATTCCTCCTTCATCCATTTATCCACCCATGCAGGCATCATCCCAGTCTATCCATTAATTTCATCATTCATCTACCATTTAAGTTATTTAACAAATATTGAGTGTTTGCTCTGTGCCAGAACTGTATGCTAGGTACTTGGGATACATCAATGAACAAAAGGGACAAATGTCCCAGCCCTTGAAAAACTTACATACATTCTTCTTTCCATTCATCTTGTCCATCCATCCACTCACCTACCCATCCATCAGTCCATATTTGCCTTTATTCACTCATTCACCCATGTATCCGTTCATATTTCCAATCATCTTTCCATCTATCCTGTATTCATCCATGCATCTATCCATCCATCCACTCATCTTCCAACCCTGCTCTGAGTATCTACCTTGTGGTGACCTGTGCTGGGGACACAGAGCACTCTCAGGCCCAGCCCCTGCAGCTGTTAGACATCCAATGGCTTAGTCAGGAAGTGACTGGGGCTCTAAAAGAGGGTGAAAGCTTGTGGGAACTCACAGGATGGAGCCAATATTTTCTTTTTTTCTTTTTTAAAAAATATATCTTTATTGATTTCAGAGAGAGGAAAGGAGAGAGGGAGAGAGAGACAGAAACATCAATGAGGAGAGAGTCATTGATCGGCTGCCTCCTGCACACCCCCAACTGAGGATCAAACCCGCAACCCAGGCATATGCCCTGACCAGGAATCGAACCCCGATCACCTGAATCCTAGGTCGACACTCAACTGCTGAGCCACGCCCAGCTGGGCAAGCCAACATTTTCTTCACCAGAGATTTATTAAAAGCCAAGACTTTGAACTTTCAGAGACAGGCCAGGGAAAGGGAGGGCTTCCTGGAGGAGGTAGCATTTGAGTTTGGATTTGAAGGATGGACATGAGAGATGGTATGGAGTCTAGAGGGCTGTAACTGTAAGCAGCTAGCTGCTTGGAGCAATATGTGTTCATGGAAGAGCTAGAAGAGGAAGCTATGGGAGTTGATACTTTAGAGCCTTTATGCTATGGGTGATAACGAGTTCTGGGGGTGTTGAAGCAGCTCTTATTCCATTCCTGTGTGCTGAGCCCTGGGGGAGGGCATTGGCTGGGTGCTCAAGCCTCCTTGGCACCCAGGCCCTTCCCTTCAGGTGCTGAGCTAGACTCTGGGTGGGTGGGGTTTTGCAGCTACAACGGAATTGCCTCTGCTATGAAGGGCAAGAAATCAGGTAAACTCCTGTCTGTGCCTGTTCAAAGACAAACCTGCCAGCCTCCCTCCCAAGGACATTTCACTCAGCCCCTATCTCAGACAGATCAGCCCCACTGGTGACAAAGGTATCTGAGAGAAGGGACTTCATGGCTTCCACCTGGCCTCCTCTAGTCCAGTGATTCTTGTCCCGCTGAGAAGTGCTTCCTGTTGTCTAGCTTTAATCTTTCCTACTGGTCTCCTGATGTTCTGTCCCAGATGAGATTCTCCCTCCAGGCACCCGAGCTGGTTTGGTGGGTTTATGAACTCCACCTGTCCTCAACCCCTGACCCAGAATGGCCCAGGAACTCTTCCTTTGGCCCTGATCATGGCTCTGGGCCCCACCCTCTGAGGCCAGGCGGTGGGGGTTCCCAGAGCAGAAAGGATGAAAGGTGTCTGCCTCCCTCCCCTCTGCTGTGCAGTGAGCACAGTGGCTGGCCCCTTGGCCCGGGATGTGGACAGCCTGGCGTTGTGCCTGCGAGCCCTGATGAATGAAGACATGCACCGGCTGGACCCCACTGTGCCTCCCATGCCCTTCAGGGAGGAGGTGAGCTGGGTGGGGTAGTAGACCTGGAGGGCTCCTTCATCCCCCCTCCCATCATCCCTCATTGACCTGTCTGCCATCTGACCAACCCCACTGAAGACCTCCTTTCCTAGCCCAAGGTGCAATAAGCAAGATGCCCACATGCTCGGCCATGTTCAACTCCCTACACACATCCTGGTACAATCAACCTATGACCGCTGTCTGTCATCCATTCTTTGCCTTTATTGATCTATCCATCATCGTACTTTCCCGACAGTTCTTTAGCTTAAAAATATTTGTGTCTATTCATCTACTTACTTACTTGCCCACCCATTCAATTCCAACTATCCATTCATCCACTCACTCCTCTATCCATTCAACTTTCCGTCCACCCACCCATTCAGCCTATACATCCACCCGCTCAACTCATTCATGAATCTGTCTACCTACCTGCTCCATCCGCCCTATCATTCACTTCCTCATCCATTTATTGTTATTCCAGGCATTTCTCCAGAGGACCTCGAGCTTGAAAAGTATATAGGGAAGCTCCAAGGGGCTCTTGGGAAGCCCCTTGGATCTCCTTTGTTAAGGCCAGCTGTGGCCCAAGGCCTCAGTCTACAAGTCAGACTGCTGGAGAGAGTAAGATCACCTTGTGCTCAGCCAGCTCTCCCCTCAGAGCCCCACTCAGCCCCTCTTGCCCCCAGGTCTACTCCAGTACCCGGCCCCTTCGAATTGGCTACTGTGAATCAGATGGCTACACTCAACCAACTCCTAGCATGGCCAGGGCCATGAGGCTTACATCCGGGCTGCTCCAGGATGCAGGACACGAGGTAGGCTTCCTTAGCCCTGGGGAAGAGGGGGTGGGGTCTGGGGAGGAGGCCACACTGGACCATTCTCCAAGAGAGAGGAATTATATCTGAGTTTGGGCTGCTGAGATCATTGTGTTTCTCCTAAGCTTCACGGAGAAGATGGATTGGATGGATGTGGGGACAAGGGGGCCCCACCCTGTGAGAAAGGCATTAAGATTTTGTTCCTTCTCCCTTCAGTGGTAGGGACTCAGGGATTCAGGGACTCACTCCTAAAATTCCTACAGCCTCAGTTTCTGTTGCCTCCATCAAATGGCTATAAAGAGCCTCTTGTCTTCAAAATCCGCCCCCCTCCCTTGCCTCTCATGCCCCAGAGGCTTGTCCTGGCCCTGCCTCCCCCTTTGAGAACTCGTGGTTGGCCACACAGATACTATGTGATCTCGGGCCCCTCTCTACCACATGGGACAGCTGTGAAGATTAAATGAGCTCACATACGTAAAGCACTTGGTATGGGGCTGGATCACAGTGGAGCAGGCAGGAAATAGGGGCTGCTCGAATTCTCGTCACATCTCTGTGAGGGAGTGGGCATGGCACCCACCCACAGGCCTCCCATGCCCTCCTGAGGAGCTGAGGTTGAAGGAGAGGAGGAGTGATGTGGTATCCTCTCCTTAGGTCCTGAGGGATGCATAGAGAAAACGGGGTTGGGGGGGAGAAGCTTCAGGCCCTGACTCAGCCTCTGTCTCCACAGATCATCTCCTTTTCCATCCCCCGGATAGAATACGCCATAAACCAACTGTACAAAGGGGGTCTCTTTGCCGATGGAGGGGCCACCCTTCTCGAGAAGCTGTACGTTCCTTGGGACTCAAGCGTGGGGCATGGTGGAAATGGGGTAGGGGAGGGGGCCTGTGGACCTGGGCTGGTGGGATGCCAATGACTAATTATGTGAGTTTCAGAAGCAAGTCATCTACTCAGACCTCGTCTTCAAGATGCACATGTTCCAGCAGTGGTGGTGGTGGTGGGAACAGAAGTGTTTCTTTGGGTCTGACCTCCCTCTGTGACTTATCTATGGAGGGGGAGTTGGGTGGGTGTGGAAGTCAGTCCATGACTGAAAAGCTGTAACTGACCAGATATGTGTCTTGGTTCCTCAGTAAGGGGGACATTGTAGACCCCAGCATTAAGGGGTTGGTCAGCAGTCTCCGCCTGCCGGACCCCGTGAAGAGTTTCTTAGCCTGGATTCTGAGACCCATAGTGAGTGTGGTCCCAGGATGGGGAGGGATTCAGAGGGGGGTGAGATCTAGAGAGGAAGAAGCTCAGAAGGGGGGGTTGACTCAAGGAGTGGGGTAAGGTCAGGGAGGAGCCTGAGATCCAGAGAATGCTGGTGGCTTAGAGCTGGTTCAAGAGGAAGAGGAACTGAAAGAGGGGAATGGGAGCTAGGGCAGAGGAGTGTTCTCAGAGAGGGGAGAAGGCTTCAGAGAGGCTCTGAGAGGGGGAGGGCATCTTAGAGGGAAGAAGGGGTTTCACAGAAAGGGAAGAAATTTAGAGAGAGGTGAGGACCTAAAGGAAGCTCAGGGCTGGGTGAGCTGGTAGTGGCTTGTGGAGGACTTGAGGGCTCCATGTCAGTGTAATGAGCAGGGTTGCTCTTGCTGGACCCCCACCCAGGGCAGGTTGGCCCACTGTGTTTCTGAAGTGGGTGTCCCCCTCTCTCTTCGTCTCTAGGACTTCCGAGCTAGCCTGATTATGGAAATGATTCGTGGAGTCGGGTGAGTGGTTAGTCTCTTCAGGTTCAGCTCACAAGGGTGGTGATAACTGAGTGAGGGGCATGTGGTTAGAGTTGGTGTTCACCGGAGGCTAGGGCTATTTAGACTTTGGGATCTAATTAGGGTTTTAGGGTCATGACTGGCACTGGGTTAAATTTAGACTTTTGAGTGGGTTTGGGATTGGGGCTGGTTTGAGGCTAGGGTTTGATTTAAGCTCTGAGTTCAGGCTAGAATTGGGTTAGGTTGTGGTAGAGGTTGCGCCTGAGTTGAGGTTAGGTTTGGGCTGGGGTTGAAGTTGGTTTGAGTTGGGGTTGGGGTTAAGGTTGGAACTGGGGTGGAATAGGATTCTGATTTGGACCTGGGTTTGCTGTTAGGCTTAGCCTGGTGGGGCTTGGAGTTGAGGTGCTGGTTGGAATTAGGGCGGAGTAACCTGAGGGCTGACCTGGGGCCTCACAGGTGAAGGAAGAAACCTGTAGTTTTGGGAGAAGCTTGTGAGTCCTTGTGGCTGATGGTGGTGGTGGAGTATTGACCAGAGGATATGTACTCTTGGGAACATTGGACAAGCAAGGTGTCTTGGCCAGAGGACAAGACATAGAGTTATTCCCAGGCCCTAAGCAGATGTGCAGCCTGTACTGAGGCCAGGTCCTGCCTCCTGGGTATCACGTCCCATTTGTATAAAAGAGGGTCTTCCCATGCTGACCTTTGGACTTTTCAGAGTCTTTTTCATTTCCCCAGGACCCCCAAGAAACTGTGGGAGCAGCACACAGCAGTGCAGGTGATGTGTGCCTCGCGAGACCTCAGGGGGCTGCTGGAGCAGGGGCAGCAGAAACCTGAGTGGTGACAGGAGTGGCCAGACAGAGGGCAGAGCTCTGTCCTGGCCTGCAGGGGAGGCCTGGCTGGACCTGGATGGGAAGGCTTAGTGAACTACAAGGTTAATCTAGTCCACCTCTCTGGGGCTGGGGTGATATGTTGTCCCCAAATCACTACAGCCTGAGACTCCCCTTTATCTTGGCCCCTGGTAAGACCACAACCATCCCCAGGTATCTCAGTCTGCATCTCAGAGTTTGGGAATTCTTTCTGGTGCCTAACCCAGCTCAGTCTGGCAGCACCTGACCTTGTCCTGCAAACAGTGACATGCTGGTCATATCCCTCGTGCCCCTATTGTCCCTGTAGGAATACCAGCAAGAGTTCATAGCCAAGTGGAGGTCCCTGGACCTGGATGTGCTGCTGGTGCCAGCTCTGGATCCTGCCTTGTACATAGGCTATCCTGAAAAAGCCCCAGGTAAGAGGGCACTGGTCCTGGCAGAGTTGAGATAGGAAGTCCAGGACTTCTGAGTAACCTCGACCTTTGTTTTCATTCACTTAAAAATTTTTTTTCTTCTTAAATCGAGATAAAATTCAGATAACATAAATTTATCATTTTAAAGTGTAAAATGTAATGGTTTTAGTATATTCAGAATGTCATGCAACCACCACCACCATCTAATTCTAGAACATTTCCATGACCCTGAAAAGAAATATTGTACCTGTTAGCAGACACTCTCAATTTCCATTCACTTTTAAAATGAACTTTATTGAAGTACAGATGCTCCTCAACTTAACACGGGGTTATGTACCAACGGATAGTTGTAAGTTGAAAATATCTAAGTCGAAAATGCATTTAACCTAATGAACATCATAGCTTAATCTAGCCAGTTTCTGCTGAATGTGTATCTCTTCTGCACTCAGAAAGTAAAAAAACTGTAAGTCAAACCATCATAAGTTGGGGAACACCTGTAGAACCTACACGCAATAAAATTCACAGAGAATGCAATTTGATGAATTTTAACAAATGTATATAGTTGTATAACCACCACCATAATCAAAATATAGAATATTTCCATCACCGACCAAATTTCTCTCACGCCCCTTTGCAACTTATCCTAATCTTACCCCCCACAACCACTAACCTGCTTTCTCTCACTGCAGTTGTGCCTTTTCTAGGATTTCATATAAATAGAATCATAAAATATGAGGCTTTTGTGTCTGGCTTCTTTCACTGAGCATATTCATTCACTCTTAGCATGCTTTCTACTGCCCCATTTTTAGAGGTGTCTTTAGCCCAGCACCCCTGAAACAGGCCTTGGTGTCTGAGGCATTGCTGGGGCTCATGCCCAGAACAGATGCAAGTCTCAGAGGTGATGTCAATGCAGAATGAACACCCACCTCAAGCCCGAAGTCCTCTCCCCTGGGTCCCCCCACAGTGGGTGCCCAAAGGCACATCCCACACCTGGCTCCGTAGACCTCCCTGCCACTTTTGTGATGCTCACTCCAGGCACACAGGTGGCTGTTGCAATGGAGACACCTTTTCAGCTCGGGGCTGCACTGCACACCCCAGACATCTTGGAGCCTTGCGTACTAGGGGGCATGGGCTGAATCCTCTGCTGCTCACCAGCTGTGTAGCCTGGGAAAAGCCACCTAACCTGTCTGGCACCTGGGCTTCCTCTCTGTACACAGGGAATAGTAACCCCGCCTCATGGGAGTGGAGGGGATTCAGAGACTCAGCAATGTAGAGAGGCCAGCATAGAGCCTGGCGCTGAGTAAGGCCTGGGCAATGCCTTCTCCTTCCCTCCACCCTGCGGGAAGGGGGGGGGGGGCGTTGTCAGGAGGCTCCTGGCACTGCACCGGCTGTGGGGAGCCCACAGGGATGCAGTTCCAGAAGAACCCCGAGGGGTGCTTACTCACAATTTTCCCACCTGGGTCTTTGGGACTTGGATTTCCTGGGCTAACCTGGATCTTCCCACAGAAAGCATCTCTTACACCACCCTATACAACGTGCTGGACTTCCCTGTTGGCGTGGTGCCCGTCACCACCGTGACACCACAGGACGAGGAGGAGCTGGCCTTCTACAAGGGATACTATGGAGATAGTAGTGACAAAAATTTCAAGGAGGTCAGTTTACCTCTCCTTACCTCCTCCCCAGGAGCACAGACCAGGACTGACTCTTGCCTCAATCTCTGTGGACGGGTGGGGGCGGGGGGCGGGG